AAATACAGTTTTACATTTATCTAGATAGACCTGGAAAAATACATTAATAAAATACAGTTTTACATTTATCAAGAAAGATCTGGAAAAATACATAAATAAAATACAGTTTTACATTTATCAAGACAGACCTGGAAAAATACATTAATAAAATATAGTTTTACATTTATCTAGACAGACCTGGAAAAATACATTAATAAAATACAGTTTTACATTTATCTAGATAGACCTGGAAAAATACATTAATAAAATACAGTTTTACATTTATCAAGACAGACCTGCAAAAATACATTAATAAAATACAGTTTTACATTTATCAAGATAGACCTGCAAAAATACATTAATAAAATACAGTTTTACATTTATCAAGACAGACCTGGAAAAATACATTAATAAAATACAGTTTTACATTTATCTAGATAGACCTGGAAAAATACATTAATAAAATACAGTTTTACATTTATCAAGACAGACCTGCAAAAATACATTAATAAAATACAGTTTTACATTTATCAAGAAAGATCTGGAAAAATACATAAATAAAATACAGTTTTACATTTATCTAGATAGACCTGGAAAAATACATTAATAAAATACAGTTTTACATTTATCAAGAAAGATCTGGAAAAATACATAAATAAAATACAGTTTTACATTTATCAAGACAGACCTGGAAAAATACATTAATAAAATATAGTTTTACATTTATCTAGACAGACCTGGAAAAATACATAAATAAAATACAGTTTTACATTTATCTAGATAGACCTGGAAAAATTCATAAATAAAATACAGTTTTACATTTATCTAGACAGACCTGGAAAAATACATTAATAAAATACAGTTTTACATTTATCAAGAAAGATCTGGAAAAATACATAAATAAAATACAGTTTTACATTTATCTAGATAGACCTGGAAAAATACATTAATAAAATACAGTTTTACATTTATCTAGATAGACCTGGAAAAATACATTAATAAAATATAGTTTTAGTTTTATCTAGACAGACCTGGAAAAATACATTAATAAAATATAGTTTTACATTTATCAAGACAGACCTGGAAAAATACTTTAATAAAATATAGTTTTACATTTATCTAGACAGACCTAGAAAAATACATAAATAAAATACAGTTTTACATTTATCTAGATAGACCTGGAAAAATTCATGAATAAAATACAGTTTTACATTTATCTAGACAGACCTGGAAGAATACATAAATAAAATACAGTTTTACATTTATCTAGACAGACCTTTAAAAATACATAAATAAAATAGAGTTTTACATTTATCTAGACAGACCTGCAAAAATACATTAATAAAATACAGTTTTACATTTATCTAGATAGACCTGGAAAAATACATAAATAAAATACAGTTTTGCATTTATCAAGATAGACCTGGAAAAATACATTAATAAAATACAGTTTTACATTTATCAAGATAGACCTGGAAAAATACATTAATAAAATACAGTTTTACATTTATCTAGACAGACCTGGAAAAATACATAAATAAAATACAGTTTTACATTTATCTAGACAGACCTGGAAAAATACATAAATAAAAAACAGTTTTACATTTATCTAGACAGACCTGGAAAAATACATTAATAACATACAGTTTTACATTTATCAAGACAGACCTGGAAAAACACATAAATAAAATACAGTTTTACATAAATCTAGATAGACCTGGAAATTTTTTTTAATAAAATACAGTTTTACATTTATCTAGACAGACCTGGAAAAATACATAAATAAAATACAGTTTTACATTTATCTAGACAGACCTGGAAAAATACATAAATAAAAAACAGTTTTACATTTATCTAGACAGACCTGGAAAAATACATTAATAAAATACAGTTTTACATTTATCAAGATAGAACTGGAAAAATACATAAATAAAATACAGTTTTACATTTATCAAGACAGACCTGGAAAAACACATAAATAAAATACAGTTTTACATAAATCTAGATAGACCTGGAAATTTTTTTTAATAAAATACAGTTTTACATTTATCAAGACAGACCTGGAAAAATACATAAATAAAATACAGTTTTATATTTATCTAGATAGACCTGGAAAAATACATAAATAAAATACAGTTTTACATTTATCTAGACAGACCTGGAAAAATACATAAATAAAATACAGTTTTACATTTATCAAGACAGACCTGGAAAAATACATAAATAAAATACAGTTTTACATTTATCTAGATAGACCTGGAAAAATACATTAATAAAATACAGTTTTACCTTTATCTAGACAGACCTGGAAAAATACATAATTAAAATACAGTTTTACATTTATCTAGATAGACCTGGAAAAATACATTAATAAAATACAGTTTTACATTTATCAAGAAAGACCTGGAAAAATACATAAATAAAATACAGTTTTACATTTATCAAGACAGACCTGAAAAAATACATAAATAAAATACAGTTTTACATTTATCTAGACAGACCTGAAAAAATACATAAATAAAATACAGTTAAAAATTTATCTAGACAGACCTAGAAAAATACATAAATAAAATACAGTTTTACATTTATCTAGATAGACCTGGAAAAATACATAAATAAAATACAGTTTTACATTTATCTAGACAGACCTAACAGAACTAACTCTTGATACAGGAAGAGTTTTTTTGTGGAAAAATCCAATATTTTATTGTAATAATCTTAAAAGAAAACTTTTTTCAAATTGCACAAAATACAGGATTTAAGACCTAAAACACTAATATAATGGCTCTGTCTTTTGACTCTGCTATATTTTCTGTTTGTACGTTGTGGGCTGGGTGATATACTGGTAGAAGAATTTATATCCTTAGTAATATCGCCTGATTAAAATATAACTAAATATCACCATATCGTGATGTAGAATCACATTTTTGTCCAGATGGGATCATCTACACAACTTTAACAAGAAATTTAATAGTTGAATCAGATTTTAAAGACTGGATTGTTTTTTAGAGATATTAAGAACATTTTATCTCAATAACCAGTAAAACCCATACTTTACATACAAATATCGTGATATATTAATACTTGATATCGTGATATCAACTTGAACCAATATCGCCCAGCCCTACCTTAACCCAAAGCCTTGCAGCCGCCAACGATACCCTACTTACATTGAGTTTATCAGCTACATTTTTTCTCTTGACTCGGGCCTGTTTATTATCCTCATCAAACCTTAATGCATCTAAAATCTCAAACTGTTTCATTAACTGTTCTGTTGCATTTCCCACTTGTTTCTTTAGATGAGACAGAGCCTGAGGTATGAGATCTTGACTTAAAAAACCCTAGAAAATATAAAACTAGAGTTATAACTGGGTGTTCTTGACTTAAAAAACCCTAGAAAATATAAAACTAGAGTTATAACTGGGTGTTCTTGACTTAAAAAACCCTAGAAAATATAAAACTAGAATTATAACTGGATGTTCTTGACTTAAAAAACCCTAGAAAATATAAAACTAGAGTTATAACTGGGTGTTCTTGACTTAAAAAAACTGGAAAATATAAAACTAGAATTATAACTGGGAGTTCTTGACTTAAAAAACCCTAGAAAATATAAAACTAGAATTATAACTGGGAGATCTTGACTTAAAAAACCCTGGAAAATATAAAACTAGAATTATAGCTGGGTGTTCTTGACTTAAAAAACCCTAGAAAATATAAAACTAGAGTTATAACTGGGTGTTCTTGACTTAAAAAACCCTAGAAAATATAAAACTAGAATTATAACTGGGTGTTCTTGACTTAAAAAAGCCTAGAAAATATAAAACTAGAGTTATAACTGGGAGATCTTGACTTAAAAAAACTGGTAAATATAAAACTAGAATTATAACTGGGAGATCTTGACTTAAAAAACCCTAGAAAATATAAAACTAGAGTTATAACTGGGTGTTCTTGACTTAAAAACCCTAGAAAATATAAAACTAGAGTTATAACTGGGTGTTCTTGACTTAAAAAACCCTAGAAAATATAAAACTAGAGTTATAACTGACTGTTCTTGACTTAAAAAACCCTAGAAAATATAAAACTAGAGTTATAACTGGGTGTTCTTGACCTAAAAAAACTGGAAAATATGTGGTTCCATCTAATGTTCCACAAAAAAACCTTAGAATAAGAATTTGTGGTAATTGTAGATCTTTACAGAGAGAAATACCATACATACAACCAAACTGATCATAAGATTTTTTGTGGAATAGGGGCGCAGATTTATAACTTGCTATAACCATGGCAACAAATAAAAATATGGTAACAGAAGTTCATAGTATAGAGTTCAGAGTACAGAGGCAAATTTTCCAAAAATTAAAACAAATAGCTGGTTTGTTACCTTACTGATACCGTTTAATTCACTCATCATGTCCGCCATTTTATTTTCGTGTTTCTCCAACATGGCCTCTACTGATAATAATTTCTTTACTTCTTCAGTATCATGTGACACAGTTTTCTTCCCTAGCAACATCAACTTGGCGCCATCTCTAACTCCAAGACCAACTAAACTCTGGCTCGGTTCCGTCAACGACCTACCTAAAAAATATCAATTTCAATATAAATTCTGGAGAAAAAACATCAAAATATCAGTTCATAAAAAAAAAATTGAACCATTTTCATAAAAATTACAAATAAATAAACCACATATTACAAAGATTACTCTTTTGACATTGAGTGAAAAAAATCAAAATTGACTTGACAATATTACCAAAGATAGCTTGCCAGGCAAGGTAACATACGCCCACTGGCAGCTGTCAGAAATGATAAACAGTCTTTAGTGACTAAAGTATGAATTTTCTCATATCAAAGAAATCTAATATTAATATCAATAACCAAAATACATCAAATTATCGCATCAATATACATGATCACACCATGTTTCATTAAAATCAATTGAAAACTGTAGTCTCTATTGTGTTCACAAACAAATTTTGACACATTTTTCCTAAATCAAGGGCAATAACTCCAAAACCGTTCACCGAAAGAACGTCAAATTCGAACTTGACCAAGATCTCCTCAATATAAATGATCACACAAAATTTCATTAAAATCAGTTGAAAACTGTAGTCTCTATTGTGTTCACAAAGAAATTTTGACGCGTTTTGCCTAAGTCAAGGGCAATAACTCAAAAACCATTCATCGAAAGATCGTCAACTTAGAACTTGACCAAGATCTCATCAATATAAATGATCACACAAAATTTCATTAAAATCAATTGAAAACTGTAGTCTCTATTGTGTTCACAAAGAAATTTTGACGCGTTTTTCCTAAGTCAAGGGCAATAACTCAAAAACCGTTCATCGAAAGATCGTCAAATTCGAACTTGACCAAGATCTCATCAATATAAATGATCAAACCAAATTTCATTAAAATAAGTTGAAAACTGTAGTCTCTATTGTGTTCACAAGAAATGTTGACGGATCGACGGACCACATTTCCATGTGGGCGTATAAAAAGTAGTCCCTAACCCTAACCCTAACCCTAACCCTAACCCTAACCCTATTTGTGACCTAGGCCAGTGCTTCTATAAGAGAGTTTCTCTTATAAAGCCTTATACCAAAAAGCCAATATTGTTGAACACTGGGTTTAAAATCAATTTATGTTGTTTTACTATATAAGATGCTATTGTTGCCACATCCTATCACCAATAGGGTTTTGCCATTGTCTTATTTACCCGTATCTTTGTTTTGGGGCGTGGAAATGAGATTGGTACTATTTAAATCTGACCAATCAGATCGGTAGAGGTCATGTAAACAAAGCACAACATTTCTTTGCCAAAGCCTGTTTGAAAAATAAGAACACATTCTTTCCAAGTTAATATTCCAAAGTAAGTTTTGATTTTCTCTCGACTTCAATTCTTTAACAAAAATCTTAATCAATTCTGTACCGTACATATTCATCAAAATATTTAATGGCACGCTGATTTCTTTTTGTTTACATTCGCAAACAAAGCCTCATAATGATTGATTTGTTTTGATTGGCTGGAATTTGCTACCAATACAGTAGGGCCAATTTTGATTGGACAATATCAAATACATAATTTTTCTGACTTCATGGCACCAAGGAAGTATGAGAAAGGGGGGGGTGTTTTGGACACGATGTTGTAGCCATTACCTTTGTCAAAAAATCTTTTCATCAATCAAGTCAAATGTTTTACTAGTGTTATTCGAAAATAAAAAATGAGGCTACCACAACCCTGAATAATAGTGGAACTGTAAGTGTGGGATCTCTGTTGAAAGATTAGTTTTATCACTTGTCTACCTTTATAAATGAGTTTCTGGTTCTGTGGTTTGATTTCTGAGACGTCAGCTATAGCTTTCATCAAATGATGGACAGTTAAAACATCACCTTTATCATCGTCAGCTAACTCTAGGCTAATATTATACTTCTTAGAACCTGTAAAATTAGGAAAAGATGTCATATTGTACTTAAGTTAAAACGTTTCTGAGATATTTCTTTGATATGCTTGACTATTAAATGAAGTAAATTTATCAGCGTACCACAGAATTCTCAATGTTTCTCTTTCTCTGTAGGATAGATGGAATGGCGGCAGCTCAGTGAGTTAGAGACGCTTGCTCACTAACCTGAAAGTCAGGGGTTCAATCCCGTTATAGGTCGAGATAATACCTTCGGATTTTTAAAACGTGGTTTCCCCTGTCAGTACTGAGTGATGCAGAGGGGCTGACATGGAAAAAGCATCAAGTCATTTGGATATAACAATAAACCAAGGTCTATTATGCTACAGGCTGTGCATGTTAAAGATCCCTCAACAGTTCGAAATCGAAAAGAGCAGACAAATGTTGCTGCTTTGGCAAAATTTCCCTCATTGCACCCTGCATGGCATTGCCCGTCTCCATGCCCACATGGTGCAGAAAAGTAGGACGTAAAACTCCATTCATTTCATTTCTGTAGGATAGACTAAGAGTCTAAAACTGCCCCCCTCCCCTTCTCATTTCAGTGTCAAAACCACTTCTAATACATTTTGAAAGAAATAAGCGAAACCTATGGACAACTTTTAGGTGCTATGGACACATTAAAAGTTGATCTGGCATTTCACAAATCTATTAGTTCAGAAATAAACTCTGTTGTTACCATGAGAAACTTGCAACTGCATTTTTATTCTTCCAAACATCGCCATCTTGTTTCTACTGCACCTGAATTGAAGTTTGATTACATATTCAAACACCATACAGCTTGACTGAAGTGATATTACATATTCATACACCATACAGCTTGACTGAAGTTACATTACAAATTCGAACACCATACAGATGAATTTTAGATCCAATGCTATTTTAATCGCCAAAGAAAATTATTATATTGTATTCATATTATCCTACCATATCCATTACAATCTAAATACTTTTTTTTACCTCTGTCAATAATAACTATCAGAGATCAGATATAGAGTCAGTAAGTTTCAGACTGACCTCTGTCAATAATAACTATTAGAGAACAGATGTAGAGTCAGTAAGTTTCAGACTGACCTCTGTCAATATTAACTATCAGAGATCAGATATAGAGTCAGTAAGTTTCAGACTGACCTCTGTCAATAATAACTATCAGAGATCAGATATAGAGTCAGTAAGTTTCAGACTGACCTCTGTCAATAATAACTATCAGAGAACAGATGTAGAGTCAGTAAGTTTCAGACTGACCTCTGTCAATAATAACTATCAGAGACTAGATATAGAGTCAGTAAGTATCAGTCTGACCTCTGTCAAAGATAACTATCAGAGACTAGATGTAGAGTCAGTAAGTTTCAGACTGACCTCTGTCAATAATAACTATCAGAGACTAGATATAGAGTCAGTAAGTATCAGTCTGACCTCTGTCAAAGATAACTATCAGAGACTAGATGTAGAGTCAGTAAGTTTCAGACTGACCTCTGTCAATAATAACTATCAGAGATCAGATATAGAGTCAGTAAGTTTCAGACTGACCTCTGTCAATAATAACTATCAGAGATCAGATATAGAGTCAGTAAGTTTCAGACTGACCTCTGTCAATAATAACTATCAGAGACTAGATATAGAGTCAGTAAGTTTCAGACTGACCTCTGTCAATAATAACTATCAGAGATCAGATATAGAGTCAGTGAGTTTCAGACTGACCTCTGTCAATAATAACTATCAGAGACTAGATATAGAGTCAGTAAGTTTCAGACTGACCTCTGTCAATAATAACTATCAGAGATCAGATATAGAGTCAGTAAGTTTCAGACTGACCTCTGTCAATAATAACTATCAGAGATCAGATATAGAGTCAGTAAGTTTCAGACTGACCTCTGTCAATAATAACTATCAGAGATCAGATATAGAGTCAGTGAGTTTCAGACTGACCTCTGTCAATAATAACTATCAGAGATCAGATATAGAGTCAGTAAGTTTCAGACTGACCTCTGTCAATAATAACTATCAGAGATCAGATATAGAGTCAGTAAGTTTCAGACTGACCTCTGTCAATAATAACTATCAGAGATCAGATGTAGAGTCAGTAAGTTTCAGACTGACCCCTGTCAATAATAACTATCAGAGATCAGATGTAGAGTTAGTAAGTTTCAGAATGACCTCTGTCAATAATAACTATCAGAGATCAGATATAGAGTCAGTAAGTTTCAGACTGACCTCTGTCAATAATAACTATCAGAGGTCAGATATAGAGTCAGTAAGTTTCAGACTGACCTCTGTCAATAATAACTATCAGAGACTAGATATAGAGTCAGTAAGTTTCAGACTGACCTCTGTCAATAATAACTATCAGAGATCAGATATAGAGTCAGTAAGTTTCAGACTGACCTCTGTCAATAATAACTATCATAGACTAGATATAGAGTCAGTAAGTTTCAGACTGACCTCTGTAAATAATAACTATCAGAGATCAGATATAGAGTCAGTAAGTTTCAGACTGACCTCTATCAATAATAACTATCATAGACTAGATATAGAGTCAGTAAGTTTTAGACTGACCTCTGTCAATAATAACTATCAGAGATCAGATATAGAGTCAGTAAGTTTCAGACTGACCTCTGTCATTAATAACTATCAGAGATCAGATGTAGAGTCATTAAGTTTCAGACTGATCTCTGTCAATAATAACTATCAGAGATCAGATATAGAGTCAGTGAGTTTCAGACTGACCTCTGTCAATAATAACTATCGGAGATCAGATATAGAGTCAGTAAGTTTTAGACTAACCTCTGTTAATAATAACTATTAGAGATCAGATATATAGTCAGTAAGTTTCAGACTGACCTCTGTCAATAATAACTATTAGAGATCAGATATAGAGTTAGTAAGTTTCAGACTGACCTCCGTCAATAATAACTATTAGAGATCAGATATAGAGTCAGTAAGTTTCAGACTGACCTCCGTCAATATTAACTATTAGAGATCAGATATAGAGTTAGTAAGTTTCAGACTGACCTCTGTCAATAATAACTATCATAGACTAGATATAGAGTCAGTAAGTATCAGACTGACCTCTGTCAATAATAACTATCAGAGACTAGATATAGAGTCAGTAAGTTTCAGACTGACCTCTGTCAGTAATAACTATTAGAGATCAGATATAGAGTCAGTAAGTTTCAGACTGACCTCCGTCAATATTAACTATCAGAGACTAGATATAGAGTCAGTAAGTTTCAGACTGACCTCTGTCAATAATAACTATCAGAGATCAGATATAGAGTCAGTAAGTATCAGACTGACCTTCGTCAATATTAACTATCAGAGACCAGATATAGAGTCAGTAAGTCTCAGACTGACCTCTGTCAATAATAACTATCAGAGACTAGATATAGAGTCAGTAAGTTTCAGACTGACCTCTGTCAGTAATAACTATCAGAGATCAGATATAGAGTCAGTAAGTTTCAGACTGACCTCTGTCAATAATAACTATCAGAGATCAGATATAGAGTCAGTAAGTTTTAGACTGACAGTAAGTTTTAGACTGACCTCTGTCAATAATAACTATCAGAGATCAGATATAGGGTCAGTAAGTTCCAGACTGACCTCTGTCAATAATAACTATTAGAGATCAGATATAGAGTCAGTAAGTTTCAGACTGACCTCTGTTAATAATAACTATCAGAGATCAGATATAGAGTCAGTAAGTTTCAGACTGACCTCTGTCAATAATAACTATCAGAGATCGGAAATTTTTCCAGGACAGCGGCATTAGTTTACACTTAAATCGAGGGATTTGTAACGTGAACAGTATGTAGCACAAGATACTTCTCCCATCCGAACGACTAGACACTTCTTTTCGCGTCAGTCCCCCTGACAGATGACTGAAAGTGCAGACGTTAACTTGTCATCTATCAGTGCCACTATTGCCATTCTACCTGTCATCTAGTAAAATTAGGGATATCTAGTTTAATATTGGTTATGGTTTTGCTGTGTGTTGGGTGTTGGGTATTTATCAATGATCACCTCTGATAGTTAAAAGAGCAGATCGAAAAGGTAAGTTTCATCCTGATTGATTAACAAGACAAGCGAAACTACGTATGGTATGTGGAAATAACACAACCATTTTGAATCTCTACCTCGGCAACAACATTTCAACAAAGCTTTTAAATCATATTTTAAGTCATTTCTAAGCCTCAAATTACGATCTGAAGACTTCGTTGAAATATTACAGACTCATTAAGTCGAGGAAGATATTTAAAATGGTTGTGAATTATGTTCGTGTATTATTTCTATGTAAGAACTATACGTAATTTCATATGAATCATGGGTGATAAGTAATGTAAACAGTTTCAAGGTACCAAAATTAAATACACATTGTTTAGTAATTTATATCTTTATAAGCTTTCAATTAAAGATCCGAAAAGTTCAAGGTCTGACAACCTTTAAATTGCGTAGAAACATTGTAATTACTCAATTCCTAGTCCGTTAACAGAGTGTTCCTGTACATATTCAAATTTTAAGGGGGTTGGGGGGGATGTGTGTAATCTATTGTATAGAATACGTAGTATTCATTTTGATGATCTGAGAAATATTTTTTTTCACATTGTTACAGATTTATGGATGGATCACAATGTCTTTCCATCTACACAACGGTATTCATCAGAGAAACAATGTTCTGAACGTTGTAATGCCAGCAGCAAACATTGTGTCGCTTTTTTTTCACTAAAATATGTTATTTGTATTAGTTAACTTGTCATTTACCAACAACTATCTAGTCTGTGATATTAGTTAACTTGTCATTTACCAACAACTATCTAGTCAGTGATATAAGTTAGCTTGTCATTTACCAACAACTATCTAGTCTGTGATATTAGTTAACTTGTTATCTACCAACAACTACCTAGTCTGTGATATTAGTTAACTTGTTATATACCAACAACTATCTAGTCTGTGATATCAGTTAACTTGTTATCTACCAACAACTATCTAGTCTATGATATTAGTTAACTTGTTATCTACCAACAACTACCTAGTCTGTGATATCAGTTAACTTGTCATCTACCAACAACTACCTAGTGTGTGATATTAGTTAACTTGTCATCTACCAACAACTATCTAGTCTATGATATTAGTTAACTTGTCATCTACCAACAACTATCTAGTCTATGATATTAGTTAACTTGTTATCTACCAACAACTATCTAGTCTATGATATTAGTTAACTTGTTATCTACCAACAACTATCTAGTCTGTGATATTAGTTAACTTGTCATCTACCAACAACTATCTAGTCTGTGATATCAGTTAGCTTGTCATCTACCAACAACTACCTAGTTTGTGATATCAGTTAACTTGTCATATACCAACAAATACCTAGTCTGTGATATTAGTTAACTTGTTATCTACCAACAACGATCTAGTCTGTGATATTAGTTAACTTCTTATCTACCAACAACTATCTAGTCTGTGATATCAGTTAACTTGTTATATACCAACAACTATCTAGTCTGTGATATCAGTTAACTTATTATCTACCAACAACTACCTAGTCTTTGATATGAGTTAACTTGTCATCTACCAACAACTATCTAGTCTGTGATAGCAGTTAACTTGTTGTATACCAACAACTACCTAGTCTGTGATATCAGTTAACTTATCATTTACCAACAACTACCTAGTCTGTGATATCAGTTAACTTGTTATATACCAACAACTACCTAGTCTGTGATATCAGTTTACTTG